TAGTACTGCGTTTGCTCAAAGCTCGACCTACACTACTAGCAGCCCAGATATCCTTCTCGAAAGCAACTATTCAACCCGGAATCCCCGCAGTATGAAAATTACGACCAACAGATACCACGGAGAATACTTCAATTTATTCGTACGTAACACAGACACACGTATACGTGCACAAAGGTGCACAGCAATCGAGTACATTTCGGAATAATACTCCGCAAGCCGTGGACGTCTTATTACTATTATCATGGAAGCAAATACGGATAAATTTCGCATGGATAAGCCGGAGAAATGCATGCAACTGATACACCGTTGCATCCTTGGATCATATCGATCTTAGCGCGGATCCACCGAGTCTGAACGATATTTCCCGAGCAGCTTACGCGTCCACGGATCCGTTTCGCGTTATCGCGAGATATTCCGTTTGAGATGGAGCGACACGGGAAACGTTTTACGGCTCGGAATAAAGATAAGGGGGCTGGGAAGCTTTCTGTTTCTTCAGTTTTACTGGAAACGGCTGCCACCGACCAGGAATACAAATGCCCGCTGCAGCTTATGATCCTACGGACTCGCGAAATTTTATTTCTTTATTTTCCTCCGCTTTTATGTGTTCTGACTCGTGTTGCCGGCGAGACACGATTTGTTTGCGAATTTTCCTCTTTTTCGGGTTTTTCCAACTTTTTTATTCTTTATCTCAGACGGTACCGATCATGAAGGGATAATATTATAAATACACGATTACTTCGAGATTGACGAACGTTTGAACTGTTTATTTTGGGTGATTTATTTGCAATTTTTTTATTTTTTTATTTTTTTCGTTATTGGGTGTTAATAATCGTGGAGAGATAATATGGGCTCTTTCGAGTTAAATAAGTATTTCACAGCGACCCTAGCGTAACCAATTAAATGACTGATAGACGAAGAAATAAAATAAGAAAAATGGAACTCAAAGAGATATTGAAAAATTAATTATATCTATATCGAAAGAAAAATTGCAAAAATAAGTGACCAAAGAGACAAAGTTGAATGCGAAATTTTTAATTAAAAATGCAAGAAAAATTATTTGAGCCCTGGAAGGTTGACTTTGAAATTTGCAATATGATCTACTTGCGAATTTTCCTCTTTTTCAGGTTTTTACAATTTTTTATTTTTTATCTGAGGCGATACCGATCGTGAAGGGATAATATTGTAAATACATGATTCCTTCGAGTTTGATGAATGTGTAAATTGTTTATTTCGGGTGGTTTATTTGCAAATTTTTTATTTTTTCTTTATTGGGTGTTAATGATCGTGGAGAGATAATATGGGCTCTTTCAAATTGAACAGGTATTTAATAGCGAACCTTAGTATCACCAGTCAAATGACTGGTAGGTGAAGAAATAAAATAAGAAAAATGGAACCCAAAGAGATATTGAAAAATTAATTATACCTATAAAGGTATACCTAAAGAGAAATCGCAAAGACAAGTGACCAAAGAGTTGAATGCGAAATTTTTAATTAAAAATGTAAGAAAAATTATTTGAGCCCTGGAAGGTTGACTTTGAAATTTGTAATATGCTCTACCTTCGAATTTTATAATTTCAGTCATATCACAAAATTTTGCAGCTCACTCAAAAAGTCCCTAGAAGAATTTCTTTTTTTGGAAAATTGGAAATTAACAATCGAAAACAGATAATATCGACTGTTTCGAGTTCAATAAATATTTAAACTGGTCACTTGATCTATTTGCGAATTTCATAATAATATTATAAAATTTCACAGAAGATGCAGGAAAGTTAAATAAAAAGTTTCTTAATATTTCTACATTCCTTTCTGTCTTACTAACGATTTTATGAATTAATATTGAATGTTTCAAATTTGGTAAATATTTATGATAGAAACGTAATTTATTTTGAAATTTCTGTAATTCCTTTTTCAAGATTGGTTTGTAAGAGTTTGAGAGTTAACATTGACCGAAAGTTTCGAGTTGATCGATCGTTTAATCTGGAATTGAGTAACGAAAGGACGTCTGTTATCTATTTGCCTCGAACTAATTGTTCCACGGCAGGGAAGAAAAGCCCGTGCTGGATTTCGATCGAAATCCAATTGGTGGTTGCGGTGGTGCGTCCGAAAGAAACGAAAACTCGCGAGGAAGAAAAAACATATCGCAGTGGAAAAGCCAATCTCGAGTTACAAACAAACTGAAATCTATCAGCGTGCCTCTCTCGCTCGACGCCTATTAAAACTTTTTAACCAAAGCGTTCCCGCTTCCGCCCTCGTATTTCTATTAAAACTTCGCCGTCCTTCTATTAGACAGATATTCAAATGAATAGAGAAACAAACTTCCAGCCGATGTAACCACTTCTACGTCGTAATCCATTTCCGCTTGCTCCCCAAATTTTCTTAAAATTTTTCCGAATTTCCCTCGCCTTTCTTTTACGTTTTGTTCTATCTTCTACTGGAATTACGGAAGGAATTAAATTATTTATTAGATGGCGAATACGAAATAGTAAAAAATGGAATATTAACCCTTTGCACTCGAGAGGTGAGCTTCAGTCACCATTTTCTAAAATTTGGAAGATCGATATTAATTAATATATGAAATTTAATGCAATGTAACAGTGTACGAGGTATCGATATCAAATAATTCTACAATTCTATTATTATACAATTCTGTATTTACTGCTCAAAAAAGTATTGCCAGGTTTTTAGTAGAGAATCTTTGAATTTCTACTCTTCTCTAGCCAAAAGTCGTCGAGTGCAAAGGGTTAAGTATTAAGATTGGTATAATTGCATATGGAATATTCAGAAAAATTAAATATTAAACACGGGGAAATTAAATATTAAATATAAAATAAGTTAAATTTTAAACGCTAGGAGATTGAATGTTAAATATGAATTAAATTAAATATTAAACAGCAGGAAATTAAATATGGAATATAAAATATGTTAAATATTTATCTCTTGCAGTGTGATTAAATTACGGGGAATTGTGCGTTGTAAAATTATACTTGGTATAAAATTTGTTAAATGTTTAGGATTTATACAAATTTTGTGCTTGTTGAAATATGTTGAATATAATTTTAATCTAACGCGAGTGTAATTCATTTTTATAAGGTTTAACGAGGAGCTAGACTCCTTATTATAGTGTAAGGGGTTAAGCACAAGAAAATTAAATATTAAATAGAAAAGGAAATTAAATACTTAACACTGGAAGACGTGTTATTACAGAAATTGTTAATACAGGAACAAGAATTCATTTTTCTAGGGTTTGGTATGAAGAACTCACGACAATCTAGACTCCTTATTACAGTATAGGGGGTGGAACACTAGAAAATTGAATATTAAATATAAAAGGGAAATTAAATACTTAACACTGGAAGATGTGTTATTAAAGAAATTGCTAATAGAAATACAAGAATTAATTTTTCTAGGATTTGGTATGAAAAACTCACGACAATCTAGACTCATTACAGTATAGGGAGTGGAACACTAGAAAATTAAATATTAAATATAAAAGGGAAATTAAATACTTAACACTAGAAGGCGTGTTATTAAAAAAATACCTAATACAAAAACAAGAATTCATTTTTCTGGAATTTAATATGAAAACCTCACGTCAAGCTAAACTCCTTATTATAGTATAAGGGTTGAAACACTAGAAAATTAAATATTAAATATAAAAGGGAAATTAAATACTTAACACTGGAAGACGTGTTATTAAATAAATTGTTAATACAAAAACAAAAATTCATTTTTCTGGAATTTAATATGAAAACCTCACGTCAAGCTAAACTCCTTATTATAGTATAAGGGTTGAAACACTAGAAAATTAAATATTAAATATAAAAGGGAAATTAAATACTTAACACTGGAAGACGTGTTATTAAATAAATTGTTAATACAAAAACAAAAATTCATTTTTCTGGAATTTAATATGAAAACCTCACGTCAAGCTAAACTCCTTATTATAGTATAAGGGTTGAAACACTAGAAAATTAAATATTAAATAGAAAAGGAAATTAAATACTTAACACTGGAAGACGTGTTATTTCAGAAATTGTTAATACAGGAACAAGAATTCATTTTTCTAGGGTTTGGTATGAAGAACTCACGACAATCTAGACTCCTTATTACAGTATAGGGAGTGGAACACTAGAAAATTGAATATTAAATATAAAAGGGAAATTAAATACTTAACACTGGAAGATGTGTTATTAAAGAAATTGCTAATAGAAATACAAGAATTAATTTTTCTAGGGTTTGGTATGAAAAACTCACGACAATCTAGACTCCTTATTATAGTATAAGGGGTGAAACACTAGAAAATTGAATATTAAATATAAAAGGGAAATTAAATACTTAACACTGGAAGACGTGTTATTAAAAAAATACCTAATACAAAAACAAGAATTCATTTTTCTGGAATTTAATATGAAAACCTCACGTCAAGCTAAACTCCTTATTATAGTATAAGGGTTGAAACACTAGAAAATTAAATATTAAATATAAAAGGGAAATTAAATACTTAACACTGGAAGACGTGTTATTAAATAAATTGTTAATACAAAAACAAAAATTCATTTTTCTGGAATTTAATATGAAAACCTCACGTCAAGCTAGCCTCCTTACTGCATATTAACCCCCGAGGAACTATTCATTGTAAATAAAGATTTAAACACTATGAAATTAAATATGAAAAAATTAAAAAAGAATTAAATGTTAAACACTGGAGGACGAAATATTAAAAAATTATTAATACAGGAAGAAGAATTTTCCGCGTCCATCTACCGTGGAGAATTGTCACTTTAATTTCTCAGGAACGAAGTGGAAACGAGAGGAAGCTTCCCTGAAGCCCAATCGCGCCCAACAACCACTCTAGAATTACAAGAAAATCTTTTTCTATTTACAGGCGATGGCGGCGGCGCCGGCGGAGATGGCGACTCCATGGTGGGTGGGGGCAATTCCGAGAAGAAGGCGGCATACGAAACGAATCTCTTCCTGTACAGTGTAAGTAAATACATCCTATTCAGCGGTATTTCAATCGCAACGTCCACTTTCCACCGAATCCGATCATTAAAATCACCTTCCGACCAATCGAAATCCAACCAAACCGCGGTGGTCCACTTTGCCTAAGGGCCTGGAACACGTTCCCCCACCCTCGAACTCTCCGAAACCGGAAGTGCATCCGAAGCCAAGACGGCGAAAAGCTTGGCGGGGTAAATTTGTAATTCGAATTGCTCGCAACAGCCGTGGAAGTTGAACGGATAAGAAAACTGGGACGACGGAGGCTCCCTTTTCTCGCAAGAAGGGTCCTTCATTAAAACGCAAAGGGAAAGAACGCGAGAGAAAGAGAGAGAGAGAGAGAGAGAGAGAGGGTGGGATTCGCTCAAGTGTGCAATTCGCTTAATTGTCGTTCAGCGAAGAAGCCGCGAATGGATTCCTCCGTGGTCTTGCATCTTTTTCCATTCGTCGAAACAGTGTCCTTCGTCGCTGGTTTATCTCTCTCCCTTTTGTCTCTCTTCTCGCGAGTCTCTCCTTTCTCAAACCGAGTGTCTCTCGCTTTTTTTTCTTATTCTAATCGCTGTCCCCGCGAGCGGTTTGGCCTGTCTTTAGGTTACCTGCTAAATTCTCGCTTCTGCCGTTTACACTCTCAGCTCTTTCTCAGCTAAACTGTCAACTGCTTGACACTCGATGCGAGAAAACTCTCGGCGAGTGGACTTTAAACGTGGATGACGGGTGTATTTCGTTTCTGAAATTAAATCGTATCTGTCATCTTCGAGGACTAGGATAGATGTAATATTTTTGCCAACTTAACTGCTATTCTAGAGGGTTACCTGTCAAATTCTCGCTTCTGTTGCTTACTCTCAGCTCTTTCCTCAGCTAAACTGTCAACTGCTTGACACTCGGTGCGAGAAAACTCTCGGCGAGTGGACTTTAAACGTGGATGACAGGTGTATTTCGTTTCTGAAATTAAATCATATCTGTCATCTTCGAGGACTATGGTAGATGTAATATTTTTGCCAACTTAACTGCTATTCTAGGGGGTTACCTGTCAAATTCTCGCTTCTGTTGCTTACTCTCAGCTCTTTCCTCAGCTAAACTGTCAACTGCTTGACACTCGGTGCGAGAAAACTCTCTGCGAGTGGACTTTAAACGTGGATGACGGGTGTATTTCGTTTCTGAAATAAAATCGTATCTGTCATCTTCGGGCACTAGAGTATATATAATATTTTTGCCAAATAAAGTGCTATTCTAGAGGGTTACCTGTCAAATTCTCGCTTCTGTTGCTTACTCTCAGCTCTTTCCTCAGCTAAACTGTCAACTGCTTGACACTCGGTGCGAGAAAACTCTCTGCGAGTGGACTTTAAACATGGATGACAGGTGTATTCCGTTTCTGAAATTAAATCGTATCTGTCATCTTCGGGCACTAGAGTATATATAATATTTTTGCCAAATAAAGTGCTATTCTAGAGGGCTACCTGCCAAATTTTCGCTTCTGTCGGTTACTGTCTCCTTTTCCCCAGCTAAACTGTCAACTGCCTGATTGTCAACTGACCGATGCGAGGAAACTCTCTGCGAGTGGACTTTAAACATGTATGACAGGTGTATTTCGTTTCTGAAATGAAATAGTATCCGTCGTCTTCGGAGACTAGGGTAGATGTAACATCTTTGCCAACTTAACTGCTATTCTATAGACCAATTCTGTCTTCGAATGTCATCTCTTCGTCTCTTCGTCTCAGTTGCAGTGCAGTGTAAAAGATCGTCGAGAACCTGGAAAATAAATCAAATTTAGTACACTGGATATTGTTTCAACCTTCTATCGAGTATATTATAACCTATCCCTTCCGTTTATCTCATTGACATTCCAAACTCTGTCAATCATCTCTACACTCCGAGCCAGAGAAAGGAGCCTGTAAAAACTCAGCGGAAAGCGAAAGGAGAGTGTTACGAAAATAGAACAGGTAGAGAAACGAAGGCAAGAAGACGAGAAAAATGGAGTACATACCAGCACCGAGCCACCCCAATTCCTCAGGAGCGCTGTATCGCGCGGACGATCTGAGGAACCGTGTACCAATTCAGCCGGAACACGCGAAACTCTCGATACTCCGTGTTCCAGGGAGACTCTTCACCACGTTTTCGCCTCGTTTCCTCGATAAAGCCGCTGTAGATGGAGAGAGAGGAGGCAGGATAGGATAGGGAAGCAGCAGTAGCAGCATAGAGGGCGACACAGAGGCAGCGAGGGACGATAAGGCCGGCCCGGTCGAAGATAATTTCGTCGGACCTGAGAGGAGCGGTGCAGCAAGAAGAGAAACGGATAATTGGATATCCAGGAATCGAGGTCGAAGCCAAACCGCGCGTCCCGGTCTATGAGGGACTCGTACAGCCAAAGAGAGCACGTTAATTAACCGGCTATAGACGTGGGCCACGCGTTTCCAGCCTCGTTGCATCATTCCGGCTCTGCCGTTTCTCTCTTCCGTTTCCTTCCTGCATCTCCGCCTGTCAGAATGCGATCGTTACGTAAGATTGCACCTGGATCCTGAGAGAGACTGCGCTTGAAAGCGATCCAACTGCGTTTGTCGTGCGGACTAGGGGTTGCTAGGCTCCTCTCCTCAGTCTGGGTGCCTTGGGTATCGCGATTGACGTTCTTGGGAGATTATCGCGTTATTCTAGCATTTTTCAGAGATTGTCGATTGTTGTAGAAGAGATACAAGACTCGAGGAAGACAATTTTACTTGAGGAAGATCTTTGTCGTAGTTGTTAATTAGAAGTATTCGATTTTTCGAGGGAAATTTTTGTTCTATTAGCTGATGAAGGATAATTCTTTTGTACGTAGGGTTTTATTTTATTTTGCGAAATTTTTATGTCTACTCGCTGCTAATTATCAAAGTTCTAGTTTCCAATTTCGAAAGATTTGCGCTTTTAGTCTCCTATCTTTATTTTAATCGTTAGTTATGAGTATTCGATTTTTCGAGGGAAATTTTTGTTCTATTAGCTGATGAAGGATAATTCTTTTGTACCTAGGGTTTTATTTTATTTTGCGAAATTTTTATGTCTACTCGCTGCTAATTATCAAAGTTCTAGTTTCCAATTTCGAAAGATTTGCGCTTTTAGTCTCCTATCTTTATTTTAATCGTTAGTTAAGAGTATTCTATTTTTCGAGGGAAATTTTTGTTCTATTAGCTGATGAAGGATAATTCTTTTGTACCTAGGGTTTTATTTTATTTTGCGAAATTTGTACGTCTACTCCCTTCTAATTGTCAGAGTTAATTATTTATGATTTTTGTCTTTTATATTAACCATGGTTGTTAATTAAAAATATCCTATTTTTCGGAGGAAATTTTTATTCCGTTCACCGATGAATAAAGAATTCTTTTGTATCTAGGGTTTTATTTTATTCTCTAAAAATTCTATACCTAGTTGCTCCTAATTTAATCTTCTATCTCTAATTTAATTGTTAATTCGGAGTATTCTATTGTTTGTGGCAAGTTTTTATTTCGTTCGTCGATGAATAATTAATTATTTTGCTCCTAGGGTTTTATTTTATTATTCCGAAATCGGTATGCCTACTTGCTCGTAATTATCGGAGTTAAATATTTGCGATTTTTGTCTTCTGTTTTAATCATAGCTGTTAATTAGGAATATCCTATTTCTCGTGGGAAATTTTTATTCCATTCGTCGATGAATAATTAATTATTTTGTACCTAGGGTTTTATTTTATTCTTCCAAAACTGGTATACCTACTTGCTCATAATTATCAGAGTTTAATATTTGAGATTTTTGCCTTCTATTTTAATCATAGCTGTTAATAGAAATATCCTATTTTTCAGGGGAAATTTTTATTCCATTCGTCGATGAATAATTAATTATTTTGTACCTAAGGTTTTATTTTATTCTTTCAAAACTGGTATACCTACTTGCTCATAATTATCAGAGTTTAATATTTGAGATTTTTGCCTTCTATTTTAATCATAGCTGTTAATTAGAAATATCCTATTTTTCAGGAGAAATTTTTATTCCATTCGTCGATGAATAATTAATTATTTCGTACCTAGGATTTTATTTTAGTTTCCAAAAGTTTTATACCTATCTCCTCCTAATTTAGTCTTTATTTTAACTGTTAATTAGAACCATCCTATTCTTCGTGAAAAATTTTTATCCCATTCGCTGCTGAATAAACAATTCATTTGTACCTAGGATTTTATTTCATTTTCCAAAATTTGTGTACCTATTCACTCCTAATTACCAGAATTCTACTTCTCAATTTCGCTCTCTTTTATATTTGTTTTATTTCATCTGCCATAGATTTGCATCATTATTCTCTATTAATCGATTCTATCATATTACACATTTATACCACTGTACTCTTGCTACAGTGATCTCTGTTCCTCGCTAACTATCGAGATTGCATTTTATTTCCCAAAGATTCACACCACGGTTCCTGTCGTCGCATTCATACCTGTCCCCTGCTCTCCAATTATCGATTGCTCGCTAGGCTAACAATTAATTAGTGGTATCGCTTAGATGGGACTCTGATTCGATTAGAAGCCGGCGGGAAACTTGGCCGAAACTCGCGGGACTTTGACGCAAACATAAATCGAATCCTACAGCACCTTATCGACCTCACGCTCGATAAGCCTCTCTGGTTAGGCTGATAAGCGCGCTGAGCCCGAAAGCGACTTTGCCCGCTTAAGGCTGCTCGCGGAAATTCGCGAGGCGGATCGGGAGTGCCTGGTTTGAAATTAGAGTGAACGTTTCGAAAAACTTTCCGGGATGGAACAATTTCCTCCGAGTGGTTCCCTCTGCGCTGAATGCTTCCTTTGAAGCTCTCAGTCGGAGGAAGCACGTCAATCTTTCATTGTTTATACTTGTCTCGACGAGGGCTTTTTGTTTCTCGAGAACTAATTATTCTTTGTTCAAAATTGAGGGGAATTCTCGAGGAATTTCAATTAAAGTTCCTCCGTGATTACAAAGCGTTTCGCTTAATGGCAGCGTTCCTAGAACCAACTACTTACGCGTATTATTTATTCAACGGATGTTATTATACTCGTTATTCTTATTATTATCCTCGCATTTGTGCAATTATTGTTATTCAAATCTGACGAGGCTTTAATTAAATTTAAATTAACTCGCTGAGAAATGGAATTAACTCGCTTAAATTGAAATTAACCCGCTTTAGAAACTCCCTAGATACTCCTCTAGCAACGATATGATAAATTGTATGACATCGAATTTAAAAAACTGAATATTATATCAATATTTCGAAAATTTTTCATTTCTCCTATTCTTTTTCGTTTCTTGTTTCAATTAACACTTTACCAACTATCAGCCTATTAATCGGCTTTGGCTTTTTGTCACCGAATTAACTCGCTCAAACTTAAATTCACTCTCGTTAGAAACTCCCTAGATAATCCTCTAGCAACGATATAATAAATTGTATGACATCGAATTTAGAAAACTGAATATTATATTAATATTTCGAAAATTTTCCATTTCTCCTATTCTTTTTCGTTTCTTGTTTCAATTAACACTTTACCAACTATTAGCCTATTAATCGGCTTTGGCTTTTTATCACCGATGTTTACCGACCGATAGCCTATTAATCGGTTTCCATGGCGATGAACAATCATTATCATTTTATGAACAGTAATTTGTTATTTAAAATTGAGGTACTAGGTTGCTCAGTTGCGTTAGTTGCGTTGCTTTGTAAGCTGCCACATTTTTATATGGGGGGCGCCAGGAAGAATCTGCTGAATGGCTCTAGCAGTCGGTAAAGTGTTAACATAATTTTCGCGAAAATTAATAACAAACACCCTAATCACCCTGAATATTTTCAGAAAGCGTAGCATGTTCCTACTAACTGCTAAAAATATATTTTTATCGACTTATTCGAAGAAATCCTAATTTCAAGCTATTTAGAATGCAATCGAACACGTTCCTTCATTTTCTAGATAAATGCTATGTCGTAGAGGAAGAACGTGGAAAAATTGGAATTTTCCGTTCTCACTGATTCTCACGCGATCGATGAATCAGCGAGGTCACGTTAACGAATTAATTAAACGCGTTCGATGATTAATCCGCGCAGAATGTCGTCGTCCATCCAATTAAAACGCCCGTTCGGTATATTTATCGGCTTTCTTCTGACTGGACGGAATCGAATTCCCTTCCAGTATCGCCTTTCCTCTGTCGACACTGAATATTTATAATCAAGCAACTTCTTTTAACTACTTCTCGAGCTGCTAATGAAGGGAGAGCCGGACGACGTGATAATGAATCTTCGGGACTTCGGTGCTTTTTAGAGCTTAAATGGACGCCTCGGAGATCTCTCGATCGTATTTAAAAATTGGAAAGCGTCCCTCCTTAACCGTTCACGCCTTTAGAAGCTGTGAAACCCGATTTGCCGTAATCCGTGGAATTATAAAACTTTGCGCTTTAATGGGCTCCGGCGCGGCGAGTGGAAAAGCTCGCGCATGGTCAGCCAATCCCTGCGAAGCGGACCCTTCTATTCTACCCTAATTCTGAATTACAGGCTACTTTCTAGTTCCAAATTACGAAGATCCGTCGATGACATGTTGATAAAATACATCTGCATACAAATAAAATACAAATGCATATTAATAAGCAGAGCGAGTAGAAAAATACGTATATAGTCAGACTGACTTAAATTACCTGTTAAATCACCTCTTCAGGTTACCCTTCTTATTTAACTTGCGATGTAGGCCCTTCGATTCTACCCTAATTCTAAATTAGAGACTACTTTCTAATTCCAAATCACGAAGATCCATCGATGACATACCCTTCTTATTTAACTTGCGAAGTAGGCCCTTCGATCCTACCCTAATTCTAAATTAGAGACTACTTTCTAATTCCAAATCACGAAGATCCATCGATGACATGTTGATGAAATATATCTGGAAGAATATTAATAAGCAGAGCGAGTAGAAAAATACGTATACGGTCAGACTGACTTAAATTACCTGTTAAATCACCTCTTCAGATTATCCTTCGTATTTAACTTTGAATCCTCAATCGAGTATGAAGACATCTTAGTGTGGAAGAGACGGGCGATATTCCTAGAGCCTCGTAGCTTGTTACGATCAGCTTAGGTTTCCAAGAATTTGGGCTACCTGTGCATCAGGTGGAAACAGTCTCAAAGCGATCCAATTAACGGCAGGTTTCACGCTAGCTTGCTCACCGGGGCTTTCAGTATTCTGAACTTAGGCTGCTAGAATCGTGGCTGTTAACTATCACGATGTCTTCCCTGGAATGTAACAATTTTTAGCTACCTTGCTCTGCTGAGCTTCGTTACATTGGAAACTTCTGCCAAATGACACTGGGTCTGCTTGACTCTTCGTTGACATACTCACAGTTGCGATGGGACTCGTCAGACTCTGAAAATTCAAAAATTCCAATAAATTAGAAAAATTCCCATTATTCGCGAATAAAAATATAATTAGAATCCTGATTACTTCTATGATCTGTTACCATGAGAAGATGAGGAGATAGTATAATAGGTCCACCTCAGTGCAGACTCAAAAACAGGCACATTTACATGATACGATCACGCAGAATAGAAATGACAGGGTAAATGGCCTCCATCGGAGATATAGACAAGGAGATAGGACTCTTCCGTTCCAGTAATGTACACCTACTTCGTGCCTACTTTACACCTGTGTCATACGATGAAAACACGAACGAATTCTGAACTACCTGCCCCAAGCAATCCTTCACGAATGGTTGCCTAGCAACGCGACGCGATAAGCCGATTTTCCTACTTTCAGGAAGAGATGGAAGTCCGCCCTCGGATCTCCACGCTTCTCAACAGCCTGTCGGACTACAGCAACACGATCCCAGCTGCAACCGATCCGGATGCCAAGCCAGCACCCGTGCAAGGCGGAGCACGGATGGGTACCCTGTTCGGTGTCTTCCTGCCTTGCATCCAGAACATCTTCGGTGTCATCCTGTTCATTCGTTTGACCTGGGTCGTCGGTACTGCAGGAGCTGTCCAGGGTTTCTTTATAGTCCTGTGTTGCTGCTGCGTGGTAAGTGTCAGTGAAGGATCTTGATCATTGACTGAAGTTACCTGAAAAGTGACAAAGATTAATAAGAGCTGATTAAGAGCTAACTTGTGGGACTGAAGATTAAGAGATGTCAATTTTTAGACAATGTTGACAGCCATCAGTATGAGCGCCATTGCGACCAACGGCGTGGTGCCTGCTGGGGGGTCCTACTTCATGATATCCAGAAGTTTAGGTCCAGAGTTCGGTGGTGCCGTAGGGATGCTCTTCTATACCGGTACCACTCTAGCTGCTGCCATGTACATCATCGGTGCTGTTGAGATAGCCTTGGTAATTGATCCTAATTCGCTCTATGAAATAAATAATCCTCTCTATAGCAGTCCATTAAGGATCTCTTTATGAATCAAACCTGAATATCGATACCTGTTTCAGACTTACATGGCACCATCGCTGAGTATATTCGGAGACTTCACCAAGGATCCCAGTATCATGTACAACAACTTCCGGGTGTACGGCACAGGTCTGCTGATCGTCATGGGCACTATCGTGTTCGTTGGGGTGAAGTTTGTCAACAAGTTCGCCACGGTTGCATTGACCTGCGTTATCTTCTCCATCGTCGCCGTCTACGTGGGAATATTCTACAACTTCTACGGCAATGAATCCCTCAAGTACGTAGTCGCACAACTGACCCTCGTGTTCCAACTTCCCTTTGAAACTCGGCCTCACGAGCATTCTCGGTTGCTGCAGGATGTGCGTCCTGGGCAGGAGGTTGCTAAAGGACATCGACGTGATGGCTGACTGTAACAAAAACGTTAGCGGGGTTCTTCATCAACTTTACTGTCAGAACAACACCAGGTGCGACCCTTACTATTTGGAAAACAACGTGACAATCGTGAATGGAATTCGAGGACTTGCCAGTGGTGTATTCTTAGGTAGAGTACCCCCTAATTACTTCCATTTAATGGGAATAATATGTCAGTAATGGTGGATGTTAAACGTATTGCTTCCATGATGTTTAGAGAACATATGGGATAGCTTCCAAGAAGAAGGCCAACTGATTGCTTATGGCAGAGAACCTAAGGATATCGATGTAATGGCAGCTTCTACGTACAACCAGATCCAGGTCGACCTTACTACTACGTTCACGATCCTCATTGGCATCTTCTTCCCTTCAGTCACAGGTCAGTTTTACGGTATCTTTAACGAGCATGACTATGGAACGGAAAATCGATGCAGCAGAAACGTTTATTCCATTGTATGTCGTTGACAGGAATCATGGCTGGCTCAAACAGATCAGGTGACTTAGCAGACGCCCAAAAGTCTATTCCGATTGGCACCATCTGCGCCATTTTGACGACCTCGACGGTGTATCTCACTTGTGTTTTATTCTTCGCTGGCACAGTGGATAATCTCTTGCTTCGAGACAAGTTTGGCCAAAGTATCGGTGGTAAACTGGTAGTGGCGAACATGGCCTGGCCCAATCAGTGGGTAATCTTGATCGGTTCCTTCCTGTCAACCCTCGGCGCTGGTCTCCAGTCTCTGACAGGAGCTCCACGACTGCTTCAAGCCATCGCTAAAGATAGTATCATCCCTTTCTTAACCCCGTTCGCCACCAGTTCCAATCGTGGCGAACCCACGAGGGCTCTAGTGTTGACAGTCATCATCTGTCAATGTGGTATTCTTCTTGGCAATGTTGACTACTTGGCTCCCTTGTTGTCCATGTTCTTCCTCATGTGTTACGGCTTTGTAAACCTGGCCTGCGCCCTGCAGACCCTTCTCAGGACACCTAACTGGCGACCGAGGTTTAAGTATTACCACTGGAGTCTTTCCTTCCTTGGTCTGTCTCTTTGTATAGCCATCATGTTCATGACCAGCTGGTACTACGCTTTATTGGCCATGGGAATGGCTGGTTGTATTTACAAATACATAGAATACCGTGGCGCTGAGAAGGAATGGGGTGACGGTATTCGTGGTTTAGCCCTGTCAGCCGCTCGTTATTCCCTTCTGAGACTAGAGGAAGGCCCCCCGCACACGAAGAACTGGAGACCGCAGATTCTCATCTTAGCTAAACTGACAGACGACCTGGTACCCAAATATCGCAAATTGTTCGCATTTGCCAGTCAACTGAAGGCAGGCAAAGGCCTCACGATCTGTGTCAGCTGCATCGGTGGAGATTACATTCAAAACACTGGCAAGACTCTGGCTGCAAAGGTGAATCTACGCAAAACGATCGCAGAGGAGAAAGTAAAAGGATTCGTAGACGTATTGGTGGCTAAAGATGTCGTCGATGGCCTCAGTTCCTTGGTTCAGACAACTGGACTGGGTGGAATGAAGCCAAACACTGTGATCCTTGGCTGGCCCTATAGCTGGAAACAATCTCAAGAGGATAGAACTTGGAGAGTGTTCCTGCAGACTGTCAGAGCAGTGGCAGCAGCCAGGATGGCTCTCTTGGTGCCTAAAGGAATTAACTTCTTCCCTGATTCCACGGAGAAAGTAGTAGGCAATATCGATGTCTGGTGGATCGTGCACGATGGTGGTCTCCTGATGCTACTGCCATTCCTGCAATGAGGATCTTCACGGTAGCTCAGATGGAGGATAATTCTATTCAGATGAAGAAGGATTTGAAGAAGTTCCTGTACGACCTGAGGATTGAAGCTGAGGTGGAGATTGTAGAAATGGTGAGTTGTATAAATTCTTAATTCATGGCAACCATATAAAAATACTCAAGAGTTAGAAGAATCGATGGAAACAATCTCTAAGGCCATTGGTTGGTAGAATCAAACGTGAAAACAGACACTAATTACTGATTGTAATTACTGGGAGGCTAAGTGTTTTCAATTGATCATTCTCACAGATGAATTCCGACATATCTGCTTACACGTATGAGCGAACCCTGATGATGGAGCAAAGGAACCAGATGCTGCGGGAGCTGCGGCTAAACAAGAAGGAGACCCTAGGAGTGGTAAGTGACGAGATTGTGAAACCGGTTAGGTGGTTGGAACAAGTACAATAACTATGTGAATATGTAAAATAAGATCTAGCTAAATGTATATATATTTAGTACATAAAATAAGAACTGCTACGGCTACGATTACTGATCGGTATGTGTCTGTTTGTTGCGTGCTCGTCACGGATAAGGTGCAGTCATTGGTGGACTTCAACGAGGTACCCGCTGAAGAAAATTTACCTCTGGTTTGTCAGACAATTCCCGAAGTTCCTTCGTCTATTTATCCCCTCTATCTCTGTGTGTACTGTGACCAAGGCACACACGCGTGTCGTCCAAGAATCCTCGTTGCCTCCGAATCTCGTAACAAAAACTCGCATTTCGTTTTTGATCGATCCATTCGCATTGACCAACTCACATACATACGTAAACATACATACATAGAAAAGCGATAATATATAACGTTCGATTCGAGTTAACCCACTTCCATATCGAGAAAATGAACTCTTGGAGGTGACGTGGGAATCGTCGCTCCAGAACATTCACGATTCCTCGCTGGTTAATCGATCGAATCGTATATCTGCCTGTTTATCTCTCTCTCTCTCTCTCTCTGACTTGCAACGTTTTGATTTCGACATTGCTGCAACCAATTCCTCCACCAGTTTGCTTTCTTGCATCTCATCACTACGATTACGTCCGTTCCCAACCCTCCCAACCGACTCCAAACGTTTCAGCTTTTGATTGGCACGTTCATAGCCGAGAATGCTTCCATTTAGCGATCGTTCATTTAGTCAGATCATTATAGAGTGCTTTGACGCTAGAGTTAGACGTCTTTTTCGACACACTTTGACTGTCTCCTGCTGTTCGGGACACAGTGGTTCATCGCAGGTTCGTTAATACTCGTCCAATGTGACACAGGTGCAGGCAATCGTGGATCATCACCACAACGTGGACGTGAAGGTGGCGACCAAGGTGAGATTCCAGGAGCCTGGAAGCCAGAATCCGAACATAGTGGACGAGGCGCAGGAGAAGTTGGTACAGGACATGGATGCGAGCAAAGACGGAGAAGCAGGGGATGCTACTGACACAGGGGAGGAAACTAAAGAAGAGAACGAGGAGGAGACGAAATTGATCGGTGGATCACCGAAGCAAGAAAATAAAGAGAACACAGAGAAGGAGGCAAAGGAGAACGAGGAAAAGAAAGCTGATAGCCCAGAATCCAAGAAACCTACGATTACACCGTGAGTTACATTGTGAGATAGTGATTCAATGCGACTGATAGAAGGTAATACTAATGAGAATATGTTCGATGGTACTTTTAGGGACGAGGGCGACGTGAAACGTATGCACACTTCCATCAAGTTGAACGAGGTGATCGTGAAGAAGAGCAAAAACGCTCAGTTAGTCATCCTGAATCTTCCTGGACCACCAAGAGATACCAAGATGGAACGTGAATCAAACTGTATCCTTTATAAATTCCATAATATTATCCAGATATTGAAATTCAGAGCAATAAGCACCTCTCGTGTCTATCGTTTCAAGTCTATCCTTCCTGTTGTACTTTCTTTTAATTTCCTTAACCAATGCGTTGCAGATATGGAATTCCTAGAGGTTCTTACCGAGGGTCTGGAGAGGGTGCTGATGGTACGTGGCGGCGGACGAGAAGTAATCACCATCTACTCGTGAACTAGACCAGCTGAAATCGAAGTAACCGCCTCGCGACAGCGAAAATCTAGTTTACTTCTGAAAGACCTAAACGACTTCACCCTACGGAACATGTTGCTCTTGTGCCATTGTCTGCGCAGTCACTTGCGTTGCGCGTTGTGAACACACATTCATACACATACACACACTAACACTCGGTTATCGGAAGAAGAGTACTGGATGCCGATCATCGACGCTGTTTCCGCGGATACACACCGGGTACCAGCATGCCCGGATCGGGAATGTTGGTTGAAAGGAAATGAACGGAAAAGAAGCTGACCCTCGACGAGAAGGCCCAAAAGTGGCATGCCAAAGGATAAGATGATTTCCTTCGAATGAATTTCACGCGTAAACTAGGATACGTAGGATCTGTCTTATTTTACACTCGTCCCTTTTCTCGATGAGGCTAGAGACTTAAAAGAAAAAAGCAAAAAAAAGTGGTTTTTATCCATGTCACACGTGTTGCACGTGTGGCCACACGACAGACAGTTAGCACAGAGCATACTTCGACCTTGTCATTATACAATCGGTTTCTGGAAGCAGTGTTTGATAGGAAAAGAGTAAAGGGAAGGATAGAGCGGAGTATATTCTTCGTCGCAGAGGTAAAGTTTCTAAAAACGATAGCATGATCACGGAATTCGAGAAAACGTGAGACTCGGTATTAAAATAGAAAGGAAAAGAGCGAACGAAAGGAAAGACCGATACGTCCCGAGAAGAAAAATTCACTATGACTCCGACGATTGTACTCCCATTCGAACCTGAAATCAAAATTTTTGGTCCGAGGCTAAGATCGAAGCATCTACGAAAACCACTGCCAGAATACTTTCTAAATGCTTCGCGTTTAACCAAAGACGCGAGAGGCTCATTTTTCTACACGCATTGTCGTTATAGAGAGTATAATAGGTATGTATAATTCTACTGCTTATAGGTGAACTTAGGGTAGCCTAGGATAGCGCGGTGAAGTACGCCGACGAGCGATGGCGCATGCGCGTGCACGAGATGGCGCGCGTTTCGCGCCCACGTGGCGGAAGTTAGGACAAACGTTGGCAGCGTTGAACGGTTTTATGCGGACGCAGAACTGAAAGTGTGTCTGTGAGTCAGAGAATGAGGCAAATCCCCTTTTGGAATCCTAATTCGGGAAACGAACAGGCAAGACGTGGTACACGAATTATCGAGTAATTCATTGGCGATATTATAGTGAAATTTAACGATGAAAAATTTCCCGAAGCAACCATAGAAAATTCTCGACGTATTAGGAAAAGTACATGACTGCCAAAAGAAAAGAATATTATTGGAACTTATTACTCAAGGATCGTGTACGAGATGGACGGTAACGAGATGCAGAAGAAAGGGTTGAGATTTTCGGTGTGCTAGAAACGAAGCATATTGCTAAGATATTCTTGAAATGAACAATTTCTATCACTCAACATCGATACAACGTCAGGATTCCAATAGCAATACGTTCACAGTTTACTTAAAATTATGAATCCGTATCACTGCATCGCTGAGACATAGGTCTACTTACGATTAACGATTCTAACGCTAAATGTCCTAAGGAAAGTATATATACCGCGAAATCTTTTTCGAGTTACTAATTCGCAATCTTCGTATCGATATAACACGAGGAATTAGCAATAGTAGAACTAACCATAGAATTCAAGTTTCTTAATATACTACAAAAAAAGTAACGCGAAAGTCTTGAGACATACTAATCTAGATGATCAATGTAAACACCAAAGGTTGATAGCACTAGAATCCAGACTTTAAACGATAAAACGGATCTATTAATGCATCGACATAACCTGAAAGGTTAGCAACAAATTGCTAGCACAAGTACGCACAGAGCATCAATGTGAAAGAAGTCTATCTTTTCATTCATCGTTATATATATACATATATATATTCAACTATATCGAGTCTAAAAATCTCAGACGCCTCGACATTGCGTCCCCATAAAGGTTCAAGCCGTAGCGTTTACTTCCAACTAGCGCCGCGAACGACGAACGGAGGAAACACAGCGAGCATTCACGCATCACCTACAGGACTGAAGTTCGTTCTTTCCATTGTACTCCTCGACCTCTTGCGCGTCGAAATCTTCGTCTAGTTTCGCGTTTATACTGTCCAAGGCCTACCGGTTCGATTCACCGCTCTAGTACGCCTATGTAAAAGGATCGCACTCGTGCAACCATGGCGATAGCCTTAAAACAACGTGTGTCACGATGTCGCCTGCGCATAGGGTTACAGAACGAACGAACGGTGAATGCCAAAAATACATCACATCTTTCGCGAGGATCCTTAACCGACTTTCATCGAAGGATAGCGTGTAGCGTTGTAATTGGTCGTATTTAAGTGTCGTGTGTATGTCACGTTTCATGCACGGCCAGCAACTCTCTGGCTGTGCTTCATTTTTAGATAGGCACTATCTAATATATATATGTATATACATATATGTGTATATGCGAATATACTTATATATACATATTTATGTATACATATAAATATACTTATATATACATGACATATAGGTTATCTACGAAAGAAAGGAAAAGTTAAAAACCGACAAACAAAAGTCTTTTTAAAAAAAAGAGAAAATAACCGTGTAGCACGAGCAACCTTTACTATGCTCGTCCATACATACTGTGTCTACTTAATCGAAAGCCGCGAACGAATCACGGTTCCGGATGAAGTTTATCAAAACAGGAAAGAGCCGAGCACTCGACGAACCTTCGTAATCGCTGTAGTCGAAATTACGTTCTTTTCTTCGCTCGTTACATAACTGACGATATACAGGGTGCTGCAGAAGTTAAGCGTTAAGAATTTTTGAAAATGGATGAGAGGCGATACACGGGAGTGCTGCACGAATTTTTGTTCCATTAATATCAACGATGTACTTAATTTCATTGCTCGAACATTGCACCCGGCTGCATCGTCGACGTAATCGTACGTAATTATAGAATCATACTCACGCGCGTATAAAAGTGAGGTTATTATTGGAATGAAAAGTGGAGTTAATTAGCCACGCCAGTAACAGGATCTTCTGTTATCCATCTTTGAATCTGAATTAACTTTTGAAACATCCTGTATATACAACATGTCATCCACAGAGAAATACAGTTCAAGAGAGAAAGGAAACAGGGCTACTAAAATTACCATACTTGCATCTAACCTATTAAAAATAGAAGAATCAAATTAAGCACGTTAATATATAAAAATGGCCAAACCGTTTGAAAACGTCGCGTAATAAACGTGGAGGACGTTTCTTTATCTACCTCATCGCCAACACGCGTTGAACGAAGCGGGAAGGAAGAGAAGAATCGATTCGAAAACACGGTAGGATCGTATTTCGACGGTTACGACGGAGAAGAGAAAGAAAGAAGCGGACGGTCCAGGGCCGTACGAAGAAAAGGGCGTAGGTTCGCGAGATGCTTCCTCTGTCTCTATCTATCGTCCACAGTGTTGCGACATGTACTTTCTAATTTTAATACGTTACTCACTTGTCGATTACCATATATTTTATGTGTACTTGCCTATCTGATAGGCATCGGCACTGCATAGTTTATACGAGACATGTTGACTATGAGAAAAGTTTATCGCGAGAGTGGAGGGTGGAAGTCGAAGAAGAATAATAAGGAAGAAGCAGAGAGAAAATTATAAGAGAAGAAAGAGAGAATTGTTCCAGATAAGATGCTAAATGTGTTGTATATAAGTAGGTAGACTTAAGGAGAAGGGGGAGATGAAATATGATAAAAATGATTGGAGAGGATCTAAGAGACAAGGTTAGAAAAAGGGGGAATAAAAAAAAAGATAGATAAAAGGAAACAAAAGGAAAGAAACATCTTTTTCATAGATCAAACAGTATTGCAGTGTATTCTGCTGCCGCTTTAATATTTTACTATGTCGTATTTACTTGAAAATGCACAATTGACCATATGGACATACATACACGTTACGTAAGCGTAAGAAAAGAAAATATAAACGAAGGAAAAAAAATATATATATATTATATATATGATGAAAATATATAAATATATATATACACCTGCGAGCTTGGCATTTGTCGGGGATTTATCGTGCGTCGTTGTAGCGATGCGGCCCGTTATGAACGGGCCCCGCGTCTGGTTTAAATCACCTCTAGGCTGTGAGATGCGAGCTAAGCAGCAGAGAAACTTGCTCGAGACCTCAATCAAATGTGTCAAATCAAGCGTCAGATACTATATACATACGTATATACTTTTAAACCTTAATATCTCGTTTAAAAAACAAAAAAGAAAAAAAAAGACACCGAGTCTAGCCCTCTTTAAAAAGACCGAGATCTACCCTCGCTCGTGGCGACACCACTTAGTTTTTTCTCCTCGAAACACACACAAACATACATACACATGCGTACATATATACATACACACATTTAGAAATCGAGTTATAAAAAGCGAAAGAAACAAACATTAAGAAAAAGAGAAAAATAATGAAAAAAAAACACAAAAAAAGGAAACGTTTGAGGAAAGCGATGTACTTCCACGTTCATAACGCGGAGGTTAGATGTTAGCTGTTGAAAAGCAAGCGACAAAGAAATGAAAGATTATATGGAAAGAAAAGAGATTATGAGAAGATGCGTTACAAAACAAATATATGTATATATAGATATGCACATATACAGATTCTATATATATGTGTATATATGTATATGTATATAGAAAACAAATATAAGATATATTTGTAGATACGAACACTTTAGCCATCTGATTAGCATATGTAATAGAGTCAATACTGTGAAAAAAAATTACCTATAACTTTACCCCCTATACCCTTTTAGATTATAGACGACGATGAATACTTGTAATTAACTTATGGAAGATGAAGTATAATGAATGAAGAAACTATATCTGCGATCAGATCGATTAAATAAATAAACGACATACACCTATTAAGACCCTGCTTACAGTGTTTCTTGCCATTTACCTCCTGTATTCATCCTCCTTGCTTTAGAAGAAATTCAAATCCTTTTGTGAGATAAAGAATATGGTTAAGAAAAGCAGATTTATTTTCAAGTATTAAACCTTCTGCTTTCATTCGTGTTTTATTTAGTAAATACCAACAATAAATCAAAACGTCACGAATTGATTATATAACGCAAGAACTACTTTTTGTTTTTTCATTTATTTACTTATCTCGAATTTAATTTTTTATTTTTCATCCTGATACTAAACTTTAGAAAAGATTTCTAGTTTCTTTAGCTCAGTAACGTTTACTCTATGTATTTTTTTCTTTTACACTTCACAAAGTTACTATGATCTAGTAATTTTATATTCTTTTGTTACTATATCGTTGTTCCAACCCATGGCGTTTGAGCACCGTCACTGCTATAGTGACTTTTACGTTTTCTTGTATAGTGACATTTCACTAGACATTGCATTCGTTGCTCTAGTAACATTGAAATTACGCATTGAAGATTGTGCTTTAACCAAGGTGCATGAACGATCGATAATCTCATCTATCTTTGAACTATGTAATCGTGTAGACCATACGTGTTTATGGATGTTTCAATCGTTGACAGCTGTCAATCGTACATAAGTTGGTAGTGAGTCACGGCATTGGCAGTAGTACTAGGTAAAGACCACTCACCCCGCCAGGTGACTAATACCTTAAGAATTGCTCTTTTTTTTCTGTTGGAGTTCTGTGATCATCCCATTGCGCACGTATTTGCCCGTAGTTAAAAGCCGTTTATGCTTTGTGACTTTCCCTTAGACAAACCTAATCAAGCACTTGCTTTTTGGCCTTCAAGTTTTGAGCTGGTCCAACATAGGTATTGCACATCATCACCTACTTTTTTGTTCAGATGTCCAGGTATTTTTTGTAAGAACCGTTTTTTAATTTTTTTTGCATTGTTTTGCAATTGCTTATCATTACCAGATCACATTCAATTTTACTGTTTAACTTCACAGCGATATAACAGGCATGGCGTCCAGCTCTGTCAGCCAGGAGGACTTTGACAATGATTTTGAATTAACATCTAGAAGGCCTAGGGTCAGAACTGCAAGGGCACGAGTTGTCCCACCCAGAACAGATTGCCCTTCCATAAACTTTCAAAGCAATAATATGGCGCTTCAAAGTAACGATATATTCTATCACTCTTGCTATTTTCCCTCGTTCTTGCCATTTTTCTTATTATGCTTCCATTTGTAGGAAGTGCACAAAATGTGGAAGAATCTCAAGGTGGATGCGACACAAGTTCTAATAGTGTTCTTCCACCTGAACATGAGAATCAGCAGAATAAGCCAATAATGAGGAAACAGGACAAACGGGTGACTGGCCGGTAAGTAAGAAAGAAACGTGATCGTCTAAGTAAGGTATTTGCAGAGATGAGATTTTGTCATACTCAAGTATCATCTAAGTACTATCAAGTAGATCCAGCATAAGTTTGCGCGACTTGTTAACATTTTCTGGATCTGGTTCTAGTGTCTTTAGTGTCGTATCCTGTTTGCACAGGCCAACGCATATAAACAAGGGAAAGCAGCAACGTGATCGACGGAAGCTTCGAGAAAAGAGACGAAGTACTGGAGTAGTACATTTGCCATCAACGGAGGTTTGTCACTGTTTCCAGTCAAGTTAAGGGCCCAAAATCTTAATGACTCGTCGCGGCAATATCCCGGGTTCCTTATGCATCTATAATTGATATCAATTTTTTTGCCATTTCTGTATTTCTGCATGATAAATTTTGAGATTTTTTACTTATATTTTTTTATAAAGGATACATTGACCAATTATTTTCAATTGGTATTTGAAATGAATATTTTAGTTCGTTTGTAAAATGATTTGTTTTTCAAACATATATATTTGATGTTTTCGATTTCTGACGAAAATGTCTTGCGGGAATTTACCTTTCTAGAAAATCAAATTAGACACACACGGAATGTATGACAATGTAGAATTGCACTTAGAAACTGCTTTCCGCGCTCTTCTAACGTTAATCGCGTTTGGCCGCGAGTGTTAACGGATATTGGTAAAAGTTTTGTGTGCAAACCCGTTGTTACTCCGCAATGTAATTTCGTTAGCTACTTAATTCTACAGAGTACAGGAGGTAGTACAGGAGAAGATGAAGAAGATCTTAGTGGCACTTGTCTTGAAACTAAACACAACACACATCACAATGAGTTCCTTGATCATGAACTCATAGAAGTAAGTGCGTGTGAATTTCACATCTCAAAAAGTTCTCTTACTTACTGTGAACGCGGTCAGAAGCCGATCGTACATAACGAAAGAACTATATATATAAATATATATATGTATGTCCAACTACGCATGTTTCAGGAACGGACAGCAAAAATGTTTACTCAAAGGCGAAACAAAAGGTATAAAATAATGAGATATCTTATTACGGTAGTAAACTATATATAGTGCTTTAGTGAAATTTAGTAGTCATTTGTAATAAACTGCTACTGCTTTTTAGGCATTACCGTACTTCCTACAGGTCATGTATAAATAGGCACAGTTGGTAAGTGCTACTGTACGTGACTATGTACAATTAGGCACGACCTGTACGAAGTACGGTAGAGCTAGTAGATTCTTTTAAATACGAGCCTGCGTATTGTAACGAGTACCGTAAGTCCTTTGTACACCTTTTTTATAACGATCTAGAAACAATAAGAACCGCGTAATATCTCATTGATCTCATACTAATCATATCTCATGTTATACTACGTCGTAAAGTAATCAATTTGAAATGAATATAAAAGAAAATAGAGATTTATAGAAGTCATCATACATTACGATATTAAGGGTCGTGCCTAATATAACATCATAGGCAGTCCAAAGTGATATTGCCACGTACTCCCACTAATACACCAAAATTACTTATTTAATTTTAGCCATTCCGATTTGGAGGCAGATGACGAGGAATTCGATTCCTTGAATCAGTCTGATAGTGTTAATCAATCAGACCATGGAAATCACGAGCCACAAACATCTGTGAACACTGTGAATCAACCAAGACTGTCACCAACATCAGGAGATAATCTACATGAAGTATTTCCTTAGTAGAATATTTCGTTTAGCAAATGAAACAGAGACTTGTAAACTCGCATAATTTCCTTTTCGAAACTTTCAGTTGGTAGAACGTGCGCAAGAAGAAAATCGAAGGCTGCTATCGTTTTTGGAGGATCGAGATCATAAAATAATGGCTCTCGAGGCTCGGTTGGTTCAACAACAGCATGAGATGGCCATAGAACGCGAGCGACTTCGGGAGGAGAATGCTGCATTAATTCGCGCGATGGCAGGCTTGGCGAGTAATTAACTTTCCTATTCGCGAAACAATCTGATTTATTAATCCTATGGCCGATTCTAGAAGTCGGGGATCAGCAGTTAAAAAAGCTATATATACATATACACACACGCATATACCAATAGTTTGTAAGTAATTATGAATTTACTTGTTAATGATAGCCGAGAGGATAGAAAAATGGTTTTAAAGAAAACTGATTATCTATTAATGATTTATGCTGGAAAAGAATCGGGGTAAGTTGTGTAGTATATACATACAATCGGCTCTTAATTTCTGTAATCATGTTTTTTGCAACAAGCAATAGATTGTCGTGTTCGACCAAGTAACTATACTTTATCCGCTTCACTTGTAGTGCTTCATTTATGCGAATTCTTCTTCCATAGCGGAAAGAACTGAAGAATTATTTCGCGGGTTCGCATGGAGACGATATCTAATCTCGAGCGATAAGTTCAAGCAAATATGTTTTTTCGCGATCTAACAAAATAACGGAATAAGAGGTGCTCCAATTTGTTATGTCATTGTTGTTAGACCAGAGAATGTGCAAAGTAAATATTGGAAGTTTTATGCCTGAAAATACCTAAGACTCTTCGAGTGTCATGTCTGCGTAGTATTTATTATAACTCGAATTGTACGATGTCTGTTTTATACTCGAGTGGATTTATTGGTAACGTAGTTATTCCGTATAAAACTTTTTACTCACGAAAATTTTCGCTTCGTCGCGCAAATATATTGGTGTAACGTTAGTACAAGGGCGTACTGCGAACCTGTATAAAATTAGGCACGGTCTATACAGAACGTGTAAATAGGAGAGCACAAAACTAGCAAGCCCATATCGATTTATATGCATTTAATTCAAACAAACGACAAAACTTCCGCATTTTCAGCCACGAACAGAATGAAACATAACGAACAGGGGTACGTCATAGATGAAGAAGGATTAAGAAGTTTAGCATGACCCCTAAAATTATTATTGCTATTACTACTACTAGTTATATCGTTACAACCTAATACTTACTTACAGCGGAACGTATCTATATATTTAGAAAGCAGGAGACTGAGAGTACACGAGTACACTGTGCATGTGAGCGACCAGTACCGAGAGAAAGTAACAGATTGAATTTGTATTTACGTACTTTATCGTGTGCACAATCATTATATTTTTATTCGTCGATATGACGTACTGAATAATGCAAAAAAAAGAGAAAAAAAGAAAAAGAAAAAAAAAAGAAGAAACGCTAAGGGAACCTATCTGCTTATTAAGTTTATCGTGTGCATGTTTCACGGCCATCTTGAATTTGTTTCTGATATGAGAAATCACGTCTTGAAAAAGCATGTAGAAAAGAATGCTCGGTCTAAGAGGATTAACCGATTCGATGGCGAGAATTTGGAAACTTTATTATATTCGAAATTCAATATTTTCTGTCTAAATAAACATTTTCTTAATAATGATATCTTTTATATTACATCTGCCCTACTATACAAAATTCTTTCCTCCTTTCTCTGCACATGTTAAAATTTATGCGATACCCGTGCGTTACTGTGCCTCTATATTACTGTATACCACCATAGAGTATACAATATGTATGACAAACGACGAGTCATGACAGCTGAAAGAGAGAATTGATCGAGAAAGCGTGCGGTTTATACTTTTATTCATAAAATAACTAAATTTTGATATGATACAATAGTTGTCCTCGCGTATGCACAATTACTTTACGTTACATTTAACTGTACATTGAAAAACGAAAAAAGTACCCGATCGTACGGCAACGTTTCCGCAAAAGAATTGTCGATCAACTCGGTGCAGCATCTACTAACCATCCCAAGACGTGTGTACGCAAACCTTAACATGTGCATACCGATGCAGAAAGACACCAGCAATAAAGGGATACATCAAACTACGATAAATCATAACCGTTAAGGATCTAGGGTTAGCGTAAAGTAGAACTGGATAAAGCAGTGTCCAAAATAGGGAGCGGCAAGATGGTCTTAGGAACTTATTCGGCCGCGTGGCGCTAGTAGTAGTAACCTCTTAGCTATATTACGCGTGTTGGTACAATTTACCGATCTTACGACTACGCTTTTACCAGTTCCAGTACAAAATTACACCGAGTACTATTTTTCATCGTTACACGGCAACGACGACTGTTTATCGCAGGTCGACATACATTTTATTGTTAAAGTTCTTCCACCATCCAGTAAACACTACATACATATCGTACATTCTCATGACGCAACAGGTACTACGCTCGTAGCTCTCTGCTTCTCCCCTTCTATCGAATAGAGCTCTCTTTTTTATTTATTACATGACGCCGATCGGTCTCTCTTTTCTCTCTGCGCAATTATCTTCGTGATCGCCTGTGTCTTTGCTTGGTGAATATTTACAACGCTATTTGCTAACACTTTTTACAAGGTCTACACGAAACGTCACGGCGCCAAAACTATCATAGGAGATGCGAACAGAAATTGTTCCCTTCGAATGTGACATTCTTCGCGATCTACAAGAAATGGACAAAAAAAAAGAAAAAAGAAAAAAGAAACAAAAAAAGAATAGAAGGCGACGTCTTTTTGATATGTACCGTTTCCTCGAGAGAATTAGAGAATCTGAAGGAACTTGCTCTGCCTCGTTATGCTATACACACACACACATATATATATATTTAATATATAACGTGAACATATATGTATGACGTGAACCTATATTCTCTTTTCCATTTCACGCACAGCAGGTCTCTTTTTCTCTTGTCGAGCTTTTATTGTCAACAGTTTTGAGTCTCTCTAACGTAGAAAGGCATATCGGTTTAAGCGATTTTTTGAACAGCTGCTCGGTTTGATTTAACAGCGGCGATTGTCGTGTCGTACAGTTACTTCGCACACGTTCATAATTTTTTTTCCTTTTCCTTCCTTTATTTTTTTTTTTTTTTTTTTTTTTTTTTTTTTTTTTTTTTTTTTT